CCACCGCAGCCAGGGCCCCTTTACTGGAAAGATGCACTGATTCAACCCAGACTGGATTTTCAGGTCATAGGGATTAAGGTGGGAAGAAGGGAGAGCCTGACCTGCCAACCCAGCCCAGACAACCCCTTACTGGACTAAAGGCCCCCATTCCTGGCTGGTTTGGGTCAGGGCTCCTTTCTGGCTGGGACACCCAAAGCCATTTTCTGCTGGTCTTGTCCCTGCTGCCTCCTGGCCAGCATGGCGTGGGCACGGCCGCAGCACACAGCCCTCGGAGCAGGAGGCAGGAGAAGGGGGATAAAGGCTGGGGGCAGGCTGCCATCCCCGGCTCATCAGGTCTGCAAAGCTGTGCTTGAGGGTGAGCTGAAGCAGAGAGAGGCTCGTAAAGTTAACTGCTTGGTTAGCTGATTAAAGTTGTCACGACCTGCTGAAATCACTTTCCCCTGTCCTGCAGCACCCTTTGAACTGTCTGACCCCAGATAACATCCCCAAGGACAAGGAAAGAAAAACCCAAAACTAAACAGGCTCTAAAATCTACTGGAAACCAAAAACCACAGCAGCCAGGAGCAGGAAGAACCCCACTACAGTCAGGAGAGAAGGGCAGGAGCTGGAGGATCTTGCAGGGACTCGTGTTCTCGTGGGCTTCAGGGTCCGGTCCCACTGGGTGAGAATGGCCTGGCGTGCCCCCTCCCAGCGCCCGGGGCCCCCCAGCCGGTACTGGTAGGGGCTGCAGGGGCCAAAAAAAACTGAGAGGGCCAGGCGGGGGTCTGTGCAGAGCAGCCCCGGCACGCTGGGCTTGGCGCCGATGAAGGAAGCGAGCATGTCCATGTAGACCAGGCAATCCACTTTGAGGACTTCGTCATAGGACAGACCAAACCTTAAAGGATTGGAGAAGAAAAAGAGGTGGGAGAAGAAAAAGAAGCAGGGCTGAGAAGCACTGGAGGTCAGATCCGCTGCATCCACCTTGTTATAGCATCTGAACATGGCTGGGTTCCTCTTAGGAAAGGGCTGTGCATATGCACAGTGGGGACCAGGGTCTGGTGGCACTGCATGTGTCAAGCGATGCTGGCTCTGGCACACACCTTTCTCAAGTGCATCAGTTGCTCCCTCACTTCATCACCCACAAGCTGTATCTGAACCCCCTCTCTTCACCTTTTCTAACAGATTTTGTCAAACCAGGTCTGGTGTTGTGGTTTGGTTGGGTTTATGGTTGTTTTTGTTGTGGTTTTTTTTTTTTTTTTTAATTAATTTCCCTTTACTCTCTGCAGGGGAGTCACACGCAGCATGAGAAGGCTGGCACCCTTTAGTTTCCCTCACATTTGTTTCCACTGAGTATTGCAAAAACCTGTGGCAAATTGCAGAACTGCTTCCCCTTCACCTTTGTAGCATCCACCACTTCACGTCCCACCCTTGGCTGTTTAGCCTTGTATTATACTGCAGTTGTGCTGTGCAATTCTGAATTTCCCTCTTCCATACCTTTTCTTCTATAGCAATCTAGGTGAATCACAGATTAATATATTGCCCACTTTCCTGGTTTTATCTCATTAATTTCATAATATTTCTTAGCCTCAAATCAGACCTTTTGCCTGCCCGTGAACCATGTGCCAGTGTGCCAAGACACCCCTTCACAGCAATTCGGATCCCTGTGCTGAGAGGCGAGACCTTGGGTTGGCTTTTATTTTCTCTGCTGAATTTCTCGGTGTTTACTACCATTAAATTTCTCTGCCATTTTATCAGTCAGTCCCTGGGGACCCTGACACACTTCCCCAGCTCCCAGGCAAGCTTTAATCTCAACTACCCTGAATTAATTTCTTCCCATCATCAACAGGCAAAATACCAGTGTCAAACCAAATGTTACGTTGGCTCTGTGCGAGGGAATAAAGGGCGGGCTGGACCTGGGCATCCCCCTTTATCTCCGCTACACGTGCAGGGAGCAGCTGCAGAGTGTGAGCCCACGTGTTGATGCCCCCCAAAACTCTGGGGGCTTTTCAACCCATGGAAAAAACCTTTGGGGCTCTGGGGAATGGCTTACCATCGCACTCTGTTTTTCTTCTTCTCGTTTACTTCTTTCTCCATGACAGATTGAGGCGGCAACCGACACAAGCCTAGAAGAGAGAGGGAGAGAGTCATGTAGAGTTTAACTCCTGAGGGGAACTTACAAACTCATTCCATGATCCAAAACATAGGCAGCCCTTCCCTGGGAGGGCAGGAAAGCCCCATTGCTCGGATTTAGTTCAGCAATGGCAATTCTGCCAGAGACCAGCCCTCCACGGCGGTACAAATTCACCCCCACTTTTTCCTGCTCTGATAAGTTGTGCTGTCAGGGCACAGGCAGATGATGTGAGGTGAGATGGGCCATGCAAGTCCCAGGAAGGATCACCCCAAAAAGAAGAAACCCTAGAGCTTCCACTGGCTCTGTGGAGGAGCTTTGATGCAGCCCTCCACACCAGCCCAGTGGGAGGTTATTATTATTTTTATTTAAAAAAAAAAAAAAAGAACATCTAGTAAGTTTATTTCCTCATCCCAATAATAACAAATAATTCCTCTTGTGGGGCAATGAGTCTCTTCTCCTCTGGTAGGAATGGTGGACAAACCAGCTTGGCCCTTAAAGAGCAGGGAATTCTGCCAGGATGAATCCACTACAGTATCTTAAAGACAACTCTTATCTGTGCATCCAGGTTTACATAACCATCTCTGTGCTCTGCCTCCTAAAATATTTTAGAGAGGAAATACTGCCTTGAACAGCCTGGTTGAGACCGTGGTTTGTGGGCTCAGGTGCAGGACTGCACACCAGCTGAGTCACAGCAAGGGACAGAGCGCATGCTCTTGGCTTGCGGAAGGTGGGGTACAAAGCATTAGCTTAAAAGCATCAGTTTTACAGGCCAAAAAAATAAGTGATGTAAGGTAGATGTCATGAACTTGCATGGTGCTTGGACCAAGCACACAGTCATGTTGCTGTAGCTCAGCTGAAGTGAAATAACTTGGGAAATCCAAGCCCCAGAAATGCTCCCTTGTCCACTACTTTGACATGAGCTTCTTAGTTCTGGGGTCTCCAAGGACAGAGATCCCTCTTGGTGCACAGAGGGGACAAGATGTGCCCAGTCTGAACTGCAGTTTGGTACACAGGAGAGCTCCCATTAGCTCTCCTACCTTTGAAGACACGGGTCACCCAGCGCGCTTGCATCTCTGTCACAGGCATGATGGCTCCTAAGGGCTTGATCAGCCCAAGGATGGCCAGGGTGGGCCTCTGCAGATGGGTTGGGAATATGTATTTGTAGAGGGATGCATGCTTGTTTTCCACCTTGACGTCGGTTTCTTCTAGGAATGGGAAGGAGACATTGTAGCCTGTGCAGAAGACGACGATATCAATGGGCTCCTCCTCAGGACAATTGTGGAAGACAACCGAGTTTTCCTTGAACTCCTTCACCCCTGGCTTGATGGTGATCCTCCCTGTCAGGATGTAGCTGGGCAGGTCATCGTTCAGCACGGGCTCGCGCATCTGGGGGCTGCAGAGAGCCGAGGGGCTCTGAGCGTTGGAGACCACAAATGAGCTCTGCCTGTGCCCCTGCTCCTCCCCCCTGCCCTCCAGCCCCACAACCTCCTGGTGTTATTTTCTAAGCAAGCACCCCTACCTCTCCCCTCTCCAAACACGGACGTGTTTCACCCTTGCAGTAACGTCACCCTGTCCCACAGCCCTAGTGACTCATGGACATCTCCTGCCTTCTTCCTCCAGTCACTCAATTAGTCTTTAAACCATTTATTTTCAGAGCTGATCTGTGCTTTAAGCCTCCCTCCTCCTCTTTTTCCCAAGGAGTCTCATGAGGAAAACTCCTCCAGTCCTTCCTGGGCTTTTCCAGTGTGCTCCATCTCACACCATGTAAGGGGGGGTACATCTTATCTACCAACTCCCCACTGGAAATCACTCCAGTCTGGGTGCCGTTTGCTACACTGATTGATGCTGGTTGCTGGAGATCTCTCCCTTTCCTGCAGCACAAGCCCTGTGACACCGCACGGGATGGGAGCCACCAAGAAGTACCTCTTCTCCGGCTGAAGACCATAGTTTTCATGCTTGAACCACTGGTTCACCCTGTAGTTAACCAACCCCCGAGAAAGGGGTCCAGGGAGGATGTTTCTGATCAGGTTCATAAGGCGAGTGTTGAACACCATGTCCCACGGGTAGCCGTGGTCAAACACACGGCTGATCACCCAGGCACCTCGACGGGTGCAAATGGTCACCTGGCAGAAAGGGGAGAATCAGTGATTCGGGGGATGAATTTGCTGCTTTGCCTTTATAAAGTAACCCCAGAGGGACACAGTGCAGACAGCTACACAATGAAAAAGCAGCAACAGCATCTCTAAGACCTCCCAGAAACTGGTGATGGAGGTGAAATGAGAGAGAACAACCAGCTTTCTTCCAGTGTAGGTTTTTGACCAAGAAATACAGGTTGAAAGATACTGTTTGGACAACACACAGGTTAAATCATAGAATCACAGAATGGTTTGGGTTGGAAGGGATCTTAAAGATCATCCAGTTCCAACCGCCCTGCCATGGGCAGGGACACCTTCCACTAGACCAGGTTGCTGGTGAACTCCTCTTGCTCTCCCTGCAGTGATGGCAAACTGAGTTATTGCCTTCAGTACCACCCGCCCTGA